GAGCAGTCGAGATTCACGCCCGGGCTGTTGGTCGTCGAGGATCTCGCCACCGACGGCACTTTCGTGTAATATTTTGGTAAAACGCTTCGCTCCTGAAAACAGATAAACCTTCCTTCGTAAACGTGCGACTTTTCGAAAATTAAACCGACCCTAACCAGCCCTCCTTCCTTTCTTTCTTTCTTTCTTTCTTCTACTACCGATCTCCAACGAAACTTACTATTGTAGTTTCCTCCGCACAGGAATTGAACGGTTTACGCGATTCGTCGATATGTACTTGTTAAGCGAGCACGGTCCCGGAACGGTCGAGACTACGTCGAGGGGGTGAAACTTTAGAAGTTGAAGTATTTATACTAGATTCGTTTATCGGGAATCGTAGCAAGAGAAAGGACGTTTAACGAGAGGAAGAGGAGGATGGACGGTAACGATTATTGTAACGAACCAATGACGAAAAGCGACGGACGAGAAGCCAGAAGCGTGTGATTCTCACTGGTCGATTAGATGACTTTTACCCCTGCCGATAACCTCCGCTGAACTTCGTCACCGAATCGTGAGTTCTTTGCTTTTGCGAATGCTGTACTCGTGGCGCGAACACGCGTATGTACATACATACATATGTGCGGCTAGCCGTTGCTAGCCGTTGCTAGCCGTTGCTAGCCGTTGCTAGCCCCAACCGATTTTCGCCCGATTCTCCAAACGGTATTGTCACACACACCCAATCGATCAGGAACGTTCGCTCGTTGCAACCTCGTTAATGACCCTCTGTCTATCGGACGATTTCCATTCGAAAATTCAACGCGACGTGGACTAACGTAAGTAGATAGAGATTTGCAAATAATCCCGATTGTTTCCGTGTGAAAATCCCTCCCACCGATCCAATCTTTGACATTGACATTGGGATTGCCTATATTCGGCTATCGCATTTTCCTCTTTCATCGTCCCTTTAGCTTTTCGTACCGTCGCTTGCGCGTCGTGTCAATTTATGTGCATATGGTTTTGTTGGGACTTTGCGACGACTACCTGTTCCCGCTGGGCTGGTGGCTCGTCGATCGTGAGGAATTGCTCTCTCCTTTCGGCGAAATCGTTAGCGTGTTCGCCGGTTCGCGAGGCTATCCACAGCATGTCATGGATGATCTCGTGCCGAATGCCGTGGATACCAGAATTACGGCTGGTTGCCAGTTTCTCGTCGTCGAGGCTGTTTGCATCTCGGGGTCGAGCATTTCGTTGTTTGCGCGCGTGCTATCGCCTCTCCTTTGGACTCGATAACCGCGATCGTCCTCGATACGCACGCGGACGTCTCGTTCGCGACGTAACCAGCCATGCGTCATCCTTGGTCGTTGCTGAGAAAACAATGAACGCGTTTTTCCATACATCGAGACGAGTCAGCATCGTCGTTCAGTTGAAAAGACCGCTCTCTGCCGCCTACCGTACTTCTTCTCGACGCTCGAGTTCCCTCCGTTCTCGGTGCCCCGTTAGTTGATCGTGGCGCTATCTAACGCGAACGTGTCGCACCGCGACAAACATCGGAAAAGAACCGCATTCGAGTCGTGAAAGGTCTGCGGTGCGTGTCGCGAGTCGCCTGTCCGCCGCAACTTTTATCCGTTGAGTTTTGATCCAACGGAGGTAGAAAGAGGAAACCCATATCGCGTACACGTTTCGCGAAACTTCGAAAGCGGCATCTTCTCCGTCGTGCAGCACAAGTCAAAAACTTGGAACGTAGCATCATATAGCGTATACCGTAAATTTTGTTCGATGTTCGGCTATTTTTCAACAATTCTCCCATTCCTCTGCATTCCAACGGTACAGTGTATCTTGACTTCTCTGCACCGCGCGCGTGCGCGTGTTATTTATCTCTCGCATAAACATATGTCAATATCAAAGTTCATATACATTTTTACGGGCCATCGTAACCAATGTTTCTGTCTGCATACGCGGAAGTCGTGTGGCGCGCGATACAGATTGCAAGAGATTTGAACGTATGTAAATGGAAATGTAGAGGGAAACGGAGCGTAACGCGATGAATTTTTCCAACGCTTCCACCACGACTCATCGAAATTACGTAAGCTTTTGTCTAGTACGGTCGAAATTAGATTTGCCATTCCGTCGTTTCCAGGGCGACCGTTGCCCGCGCATCAGACATATTTTCAACGTGTTCCGTTTGCGTGGTCTGGTGGATCGTTGGACGATACTATTTTCGTGTTTCGTCGTCGCCGGCGCCAGCGCCGGCGACTGCTCTCTTATTTCGGTACGACGGAACAACGTTTGTTGTCTTTGCCTCTCTTTCCTCGAATGCTCGCTGAATCGAGATAATGGGGGAGAAGTGTGAATGAAAGGTGGCGCGATTACGATTAACCCTTTAACAACCTATAACAACGAGTCACACTCGTGACAGAAATTCTAGTCGAGATATGAGAAAAATAGTTATATTTCGTTTTAATTCGCAAGACTGAGGATTACTAAACGTAATTAATCTATAAACGACCGACGCCTAGATGCATAGTCAGAGAAAACTCGTAGGTTAAGGGGTTAAGAGGCACGAGAGAAAAGAGGAAGGATACTTGACATGGGAGAAGCATCGAAATGTGAAACGCGCGTCTGCTTTAAATTAAAATTAAAATTTCGTTAAGTAGAAATGGATTCGCGCGTGCTGCTTTTTCCAATACATATCTCGCAAGCGTAGCACAGCGTTGCATCATCGTTTGTATTTACCGAGAAACGTGGAAAACAAATCCACTGGCATGATCGTTGGGTAGACCGCCGACTTGTTTTCTCATCTCTGTGGCGTGTTTCGATTTCTTTTTTTCTTTTTTTATGCGTATTCACGTTGCATTTATCGCGCGTAAAAGCTGATGCTCCATTTGGAATGCTTGTTCGAGGAGAGAGAACCTGGAAAGGATACACGAAACGACGCGTGGCGATTGTTGGTTCGATC